AATATCAGAAAACCTGATGTTGATGGATGCCCAACATTACCAGGAACAAGCCCTGACCATCCGCCACGGAAACTCAAAACAAGGTGGAACATAGTTTTCTAGATTGCCGCAGTACTTACTACGATGGTCCTCCATGGAGTTGCGGCCGCCCTCTTCTGAGATGTGGAGCGTTGGCAGGAGCACGGCATCTGGCTCGATGCTCTTTCTAGGAGAGATAAGGCTGCATAGCTACAAATTATCTCTTAGTGTAGTGTACTTAAAATATACGACCATACCTCTTGAGCCAAGGCACTGGGTGCTTCCGCGAGCCAGCAAGGTGCTGCAGCCTCTGCAGTCCAGCTGCTACTCACTAGGCTCCCAGGCTATGAGATACAAGGAACATGATGCTGATTAGGGCATTGCCAGGCACGGAAATTGAGACCAAAAGCCTGAGGACCTACCTCAGAAATGTAGCCACCGTTGGCCAAGTTGCGGAGGGATTCAAAGCATTTCCACAAGAGCCCTTTCTTAGAAAGCATGGCAAGAACTATAAGCTGAAATAGTTTAAACGTCAGCAAGGTTGATTGGTGGTGAGTGTGTACAGCATTCAGCTTGCTGAGGGCATGCCAATAAGTGAGGCACGTGATGGACAACATACTACAGCATCAACATCATTTGGTCTGAAGCTCTTGCTACCCCGCACATGGTACTGTAGACGGCTCCCAGCTCCCCAAGCCCTTAAAACGCCAAGCCCAAGCCCTCCCTCCAACAAGCAACTTCAGAATTCCAGAGAAATTGAGAAGCATTGCAAGAGGTATTGGCCATGAACTTTGGAGGCTTCATAGGCCTCTGAGTAATTTGAACAATCTCTCTGGGTATCATATACAGAATCATTATATATACCCTCAGACCTGAAAGTGTCAAAAAGCCCCCACCCACTGCGGCCCCCAGGGGTATAGAAGCGATTGCCCGTAGGTTCGGGATTTTTATGTTGATGCACCCAAGCGCGAAACTTGCCAAAATGAAAGCAGAAGTGTTAATGTCCAGTGTGACTAAGTGTGCTGAGCCAAACGCGAGACTCATTTTCAGGATCTACCTTGGGCTTTCCCCATGCAGCTGTCATGAGTGCCTTGTACTGGCAGCCAGATGGAAAGAGCCGGCCTAGCCTGCACCTTCCAAACATTTGCTGGTGCTTACGAGCTTTAGGGACTAGATCTAGAAGCATGTAAAGGGGTTATTTGGGATCACTCCTATGATCCACTCCTCCACCTTTGAGAAATCTGGGTGAAATCTAAGGCTATTTGCGGGTAGATGGGGGAGGAGAAGACGGAAGTCTAGAAGAGACTTCCCGTGAGCCTACAGAAGTCAGGGCTAGACCAGTAATGTCAGTTTGTGTGGGCCCCCTCAGTGTCAGATGACATCAGGACTCGCTTCGAGCATCTGGTTCAATAAGGATTCTTTATATAGGCCCTCTGCAATTGCGGAGTCCTTGTGGTAAAGAGAAATTGTGGGTATATTTGAACCCAGATGTGATGAAGTTTCCCTCAACTAATGAGGATGAAGTGACAGGGTTTCTTTTTCTGCCCCGCGGCAAAGACAGAAGAGAGAAACATGCTGAGGAAGCTTCCCCAAAATGTGTTATATCCCAAACCTGTGAGGCCGCCAATTACTTCAAACTTTCACCGGCCAAACTGCAACAGGGTGAAGTGTCAAGATGACATCCCCTTCTTCCCTCCTCCAAGTGAAAGACGCGGCCTCCCAAAATGCAAACTCGCACTGCTCCGCAGCCCCTGACAGTTGCAAGATGCAAAGTTGGGGACAAAGTTGAGCGCTTGAGGGCCGAGAAACATCGATCACAATACTGACGCGAGATCAGCCATCGCTACCACAAAGAGGACTGGCTTCAGAATGCTCAGCTTAAGCATATTTGTTGATCGCAACACGGGAGAGGCTGGCATCAACCCTGGCTAAGTAACGTAGTTGAATTGGCTACGCCATCTGCTCCCCTAGAGAAGGATCAGCAAACAGTCAATGATTTGTTTACTAGTCATGCGATTTCAACTGTGAGGGTTTGGTTTGTTGTGTCAATTCACGTCTGCCCTGTCTTCAAGGATCCTTTGACTGACGTTTTGCATTTTGAATGCACCTAGTCCACATACCCTCTGATCATCTCTGCAGTGGTTCCAAGAGCATAATGGTCCTCATCATCCCAGGACCCTTCCTGCAACTATCCGTAGGAATTCAAAACAGAAGGGTCAAGCACCCAAACACGATATGCTTCGCCAAAACTTGCTACAGTCGCAAAGTCCGACAATTTTCTGACTCTTTACTTTGATCCTGAGAACTGAACTGCATACGCTTGGAGCCTCCCTACACCAATAAACCCTTCACTCATATAGTAAGTTGGAAGGTCATTGTAACCCTGACAAAACAAAAACCCAATTGGAGAGTCAATCCAACATCATGCTGCAATCCGGCAACCGCTAACTTGGCCCAAAATCTTTTGAACCTCCACAAACCTCCCGTACCCTACACCCCTACACGCAAAACACACGAAACAACTGTCCCTACAATCCCCTTAAGCCTGCGGTCCAGGAGAGGGCCAGCGAGGTGGTCGCAGGGTTGGAAATCGTCAGGTCCAGAGGGGCTGTGGCCGGATTCAAGCAGCTGTCACCTCTTTTATGATGATGTCAGGTTAGGTATAGGTTGAAGGGTTTTGGGCTTACTTCGGGTTTGGGGCTTAGGCTTTTGGGGTTTTCAGGTTTGGGGTTTAGTGATGAGGTTTGGGACGTGAGGTTGAGATTCTAAGGCGTATGTGGGATTTGGGGCTGGCAAACATGGGGATCCTGGTCCTTCTAATTGGGGTCCTTTGTCACTTGGGGCTTTCTTTTCCACATTCGCAGAACGCTGTCTCCATTCTTGAGGAGGTTTGGGGTTAGACTGGCTCAAAGATGAGGGGGTTCTAAAGTTTCGATTTCAAGTCTTCTCAAAACTGAGGTTGAGTGAGATTTGGGGGGCCCAGTCAGCTGATAGGGCTCCCAAGCAAACGGTTTAGGCGGTTAGGGCATGCGGGGGTACCGCTAGCTCTGCATTTAACACCAAAACTCTCAGGCGATTGGGGAATTCACAAATGGTCATGCTTTTTCAGGGTTGAAGGCGCTGCGAGAGCATTGTCACACCGGGACGACCTACAATGCTGTCAAGATGCCCGGCTTAGTTTGAAAAGTTGTCTCGGCGCTGAAGTCCCCGACCAGACCAGACTCCTTCTGTTGACCCGACTGGTGCTCGGGAATAGGGTTTAGGTTCAGCATTGCGTTTGCATTGCCTTGAGGTTGCGGCAGGAAAAGTGAGCGTCTAAAGTGGCGCAGCATCTGCTTTAGGGGTTCATTGGCGCCCGCAAGAATTTCTGCAGGGGGATATAGCCTACCGTCTCTATGCAGCAAGAGATGGAAACACTGCTGCAAGATTGAGGTTTCATGTTTGGCATACAGCAGCAGTGCGTAGTTTCAACAACCTTTCTGATACCACCGTAGCCCGGGTTGCCAATGACGCTCGGCCGTTGAAACGGTGCTATGCCGGCTTACCAAAATACGCTCAGCATGATACATGTGGGTTGAGCCTGGCCGCGAACCCCCCAAACACGATGCATGCCAAAATACGGCCAGCCAGACCACACACCACCACAAGTACATTTGAGAGAGCAACTGTGAGCACCTCCAAATGAATGCTTGGAGCCCGGTCCTTGCAGGTGGCAGCTATGCGGATGGAGTAGCTTGTGTTGCAGCTCAGGTCGCGGATATTGCCTGCTTGGAGAAGGGCCAAGCCACTTACGGCTCAAAAAGAACGCCTTCAACTTGAAAGCAAGCCTTCCTTCAACCCTGAACCCCCTCACACCTCGAGACCCTTGAGACCCTTGACATCAGCGAAAGCTTGAGACGTACCCGCTTCAACAGGGCACGCATTGCTAAACAAACACACGTTCCTCTAAGTAAGCTTCGGAGGCGTCTTGACAATAGACCACCTAGCGCAGCTGAATCAATTCCACCAAACCAGTCGATGTCGATAGGCGATGATGATGTCTAACCCCTTAGCAATCCTTAAAACCCATCTGCACCTAAACCCCTGACACAAACTGCCAATGAAGTTTCTCCCGCCTGGTGATAGTCACCACCTTTCCCAAAGAATGTGAAACCTTACTGAAAGAGCGGGCCCTGAACTCCAGCAGCCCAAACAAAAACCGAAACAAAACATTAAACCCTAAACCCTCCACTCAAAACCCACGTTGAAGAACCTTTGAATCCCCCCTAGCCCTGAACGTGCAGAAACTGGCGAGGCCCAAGGTGCAAGCGGTGACTGAGCTGGCACATTCCTTGGCAGCGCTGCTGGGGCTTCACGGAACAAGGGTACCCGTCTTTTTGTATGACCCCCCACAGACTGAGCTGCAATCACAAGCCCCTGGGCGCCATTCTTGGATTATATGGCATCATGCAATTTGGCAGCTTCCATTGAGCAAATGGGACCACCCCATTTCTGTGTTGGGGAGTGATGGGCTTTGCACAGGAAGTCATCTGGCTGCAGCTCTGAATATATCCCTATGACTCAGCAAGTACTAGCACTGGCAGGACAATGTAGGACCCTCTCAAAAATGACCTCCAAATCATAAAAGGAAACCGTTGGCGTGTCATGACCCGTGGCTTCTTTTCACAGAAACCGACGCCCTGTGATCAATGGTGACCCTACGGATACATAGAAACTAGCCGAAAAAAATACGCGAGTTCTTCTGCTTGAGCGTCGATAAGGAAATATTCGCCCTTCAAGCTGGAGATGTTCTTAATGGTTAACACCTGGTTTCAGGGCGCGTGTGCTGGGGAGCATAGCTGCTTTCAGGAGGTGGTGAAGGTTTTGTGGCAGGAAACGTATGTCACAGCTATTGGGCAATCCAAGGCTGTTTGAAAGACAACTCTTCAAGGCTTCAGCTGACTTTTTTTCGTTCTGATTCTGGCAAGGTGGCCACGGTCTGATCAGGCAAGAAACTGGCTCTTTACCAGTCCGGGCATAGCAGCCTCCAGTACAGTCAAGCAGTCAATAATTTCGCCGGCAAAGTGCTGTCTGATGATGTGCTTGTATGGTGGCAAGTTGGTACATTCCAGCAGGATTGCTTTGATGCCGGGATATCTCGACAAGGCGGCTTGCATCAGCCTATCAATGTCCTGCTCTGGAAGCTAAAGTAGAGTTGAAAGGTCTTGGTGCCTTCTGAAAAATCACGCAGTGGAAAAAGAAAACAGCAAACCTGGCTTCTGAAGTTCCCAAACACCCCCTCTCAAAAACAAAAAGAAAGAACTGATGTCCTCCTCTGCACGCTCAAACTCGAGATGTTCCAGATCCTTGGAGATGACGTCGTACAGATGCATGGACTTCTCCAGGCCAACCACAGGGCCACTGAAGCCATCTACAAGGGATCTCAAGAAAATTAAGGTGCCAGGAGATGTCTTTCGGAAAGTCCCTCTAATGATTGTATAGAATTATGTATGGGCTGCTTTCCCCATTAACCTTAGACCCTGAACTTCCACCTAAAGCCAGGCGATAAGCAGGAGCTGCAAGAACATCGGCATCGAAGGTGATTACCATGATTTCCGCATCTTGCAGAGACGACCGCAGCTTGGGCAAGGACACTAACGCTGAGCTGATGAAGGTCTTCTCTGTCAGCTGTGACAGCGCGTTTTGGAAGTAAATCATGAAGCCGCAAGATGTGCTGATGATATCCACATCCGCCTTGGCGAGCGCCGAGGCGAAACCAGAAAGATCCAGTGCTTCCGGGTCAACACTTACCTTGGAATGGCCGACATGCAAACGTGCTTTGTTTGTATTTGCCCTCGGCTTTCTGGCAACGACGTGGAGATCAAAAAAACCTTCAACTCTGGTCTTCGCCGCTAACATTCGCAAAATGTGATAGTAGTGCCACTTCGCATACGTGACCAAAGCGCTACAGCCGAAAGCTCCATGACCTCAGCCCTTACAACGCACTGCAGCCACCTTACTGTTTTATCTGGCATTGCCGCGATCGTCTTAAACCTTGCCGTCGCTATCATGCTATCACGACTTATCAGCACAAGTCTGAAGCCCGTCATTCAAACTCAAAATCTGCACCGCTTGGAACCAAGATGCTACGTTGACCACCTGGGCCCTGTCAATCACTTCGATGCGGGTGGGCAGTGCATAAGTCCTGGGGCTGTCCATGTGGAAGTAAACAGGAACTATGTGCTTACCAACTAAGGTCTTTCAGATCTTCGATTACAGCAGCCTTGCAAAAACGCATGAGCTTGTAACCCACTCTCGAAATGTGGACCCTTTTGTGATGATCCTCATGCGTTGGGCCCTCCTGGGCTCCACAAATGCTACACCCTACCGTCCCCTCACATACAACCCTTACATATTACAACGCTTCCTATAAGGACCCCTAAACGAGCTCCTACGAGTTTGATAGACTCCCAGATTGCAAAACCACATGAAGAAGGATCCTGGCGGCCTCTTCAACTCCTGCACGGTAGAATACACGGTCTAATTCAAAGGCCCTGGGGATCCAAGTGCCAAAGCCAAGTACTGGCACCGAATACTGTAGATCTTTTAGTTGATGGGCACTTGGACTAGGGAGGCGACCCCAGACCCTGGACCCTGAACCCTACTTGAGGGCTCATGGGTACTTAAACGTTGAGGTGAAAGTCCCCTAACTTAGGTGAAGCCTACTCAGAACGCCCATAAATCTCTGGGTGAACACTCCGTAAGCCGTATGATCTAGCGTCTCTCTGCAAGCAATGTCTCCTGGAATTCGAGGGAAGCGCGTGTCCAGCCTAGTTTCCGTCCCCAGAACCCTTCATCTTACTGGGGGTTAGTAGGGAGTAAGGGAAACTATATATGTGTAAATACAGAGATTGCATAGGGATTATATTCCCCTCCCTGCTGAGCACCAGTAAGTCTCATGCCGTCATAGTTTGGGATTCTGGTTTCGCAGGGCCGCCAAGTCCCCTATTCCGCTGATGGGAAAATCCTCCCAACAAAGTCCCGCTACACATTCAGGGAACATGTTTGACTGGGGGCTGGTGGGGCCTCAGTAATTTGCTGCCTCCCAGATGTGCTAGACTTGGAGGTCTATCATTCCGGGATTTTCAGGTTTAGGCCCTAAGGAAAGCGTGGGATATGTCTCAAAACAACATCAAGCGTGCGCAATCCTCTTAAAGGAATGCTAAACACCGAAAAGCCATGCATGCACCCCGCATAAAATCTTGGCAAGACCCTTGGCAAGAAGTACAACCCCAAAAAAACTGTAATGAAGCCACTCAGTAGCTGCAGAATTGCCAGAGCCGCCGCCATGACGGCGCAATCATGCGCGATTGACAGCGAGTGGCACGTCAAAGTTGCAACTTGAGAAAGGATGAGGGTTTGTCGCTCAGGGCGGTCATAGGACATAGGGCTCAGAGTTTGGGATTTCATCTTTGGCAGCTGCAGGGATCAGGGAATGGGCTGAGGTCTGAGGCTTTTTCTCGAGCGTAGATCTGGACCTTTGCGAACTACACATCGTGCAGGAATTTGCACGTTGTTTGTGTTACTTCAGCTGGCTCCTGTCCGACTAGGTTTTGGGGCTAGGGGGTCCAGGTCTGGAGGAGAATCTGGGCAGGGGACTATATCAGGATATGCTCCTATACAATTCTTCCTGGTAGATTCATGAAAGCCAAGGCCGAGACTGGAGCCCTCCCGGGGGATGACCCTGTGAAGCCCCATTAGCCTCCAGACCTAGCCAAGACTTGCTGAAGGCAGTGACCGCAAGAAATGCATGAAGTTCTACGAATGACCTTGCAAGAGCTATATTTGTATCTGCTTCTTGCACAGGTGGCTCTCAGCTTCCATAATGTTTGAGCCCCAAATGGCTGGGTCAATGAATGCCATGGGAGCTGTGTCCACAGAGGAAAATATATCAGGTGAGGTTTGTTTTCATGGTATCCCTAAAGGGACACCCCGTAAAACACCCTCCTATTCGCTAAGACCCCGTAAATGCACTTACAGAAACGATACAAAAGGCACAATACCTCCACCATTTCCATTCCTCACGTAGGCCTTTGAAAGGCCACGGCCAGTGTGCTGAAACACTGGGATGTTTCGCGATGCTGCCACAAGATTTGCATCAGCCTTGCCACCGTCAGGAAAAATGAAAGGACCCTGAAATTTTCAGCTATCTAGCGTCATTATCTGCGCTGCTGGGTTGGAAGACTCCAGTAGCATCTACCTACAGTAAGCAAAGCTGCACCATCTCGCGATAGTTCAAGTAAGTTCTCGAGTACTCTGACGAAGGCCTCCTCTGAACCAATTTATCTCTGGCGCCAAGACACTGTCCGCGTCGTCCAAGCAAGACCAGCTGCGGTGGGTAGCGAGTTGTCCTGACCGATCACTGTAGGCTTTGACACTTTGAGGTATTGCCTTGGCCTTGGCACTCTGTGGCCTCAGCTGCTCAAGGAGACCTCAGCTACGAAGCTCTTTGATGCTCATTACCATGACGCTGTGACACCAAAAGTTCTTCCATTGCGTGGACTTGGGATCATGTAAAAGTAATGAATCCCAAGACCCCGCACTCCAGACGGTTCGATTCCCAGAGCTGCGCAGAAGGCCTGACCACCCCAACCAACCTCAGAAATTCAACCGCAGGGGTACAAACACTGCAATACTGAGCTCCAGGTACCAAACTGTGGCACCAGTCCCAACTGAACACTTGGACCTCTCTAGCACAAGAAAGCCTCAGGGATCCCGAACCAGCCCTGCTGTCATCTGCGGGTCCCGAAGCTGGACGAGCCAGGAGTCGAAAGTGCAGTCGGGGCCGAGGTCCTTGCGGCTTAGGACTACACAGCGGTCAGTGAGCGGATCTCATGATAGGGCACAAGGCATAGTCTAGATTGTACGGAACACGAAGGCCTCCAACTCTTGATAACAATCTAAGGGGCCCCAATTTCAAGACACGTGTCAAAATGGTCTGAGGGGGTTGAAGGTGAGGTCACAAATCTGAAGTAGGATTTGGGCTTAGGAATTCCAATGCTGTGCACCTCCTCCGGGTTTTGGGTTTACAGAGTGGGTTGCGGGTGCTTGATGCAGGCACCCAGGACACCTCACAGGATCCGCCTGAGATTGCGAATGTGGAGCCCGAAGACTTGTCCCTTGTGGAGCTCTGAACAGCCTAACCCCAAACTTTAGCTCTCATATAGGTCCGACAGACAAGCGGGGTGTGGAATGGATACCTGATAAGTTGATAAGCCATTAACGCTTCTCCTGCGATTGCCAGCTGTAGAGCACTTCAGTCTCGTAGTGCGCGGACAAAAGCAGATTTTCCTGGAAAAGTTGCAGGCTCCTGTCTTTAGGGTTTACAATGGGTGTAGGATCTTATTCGGGCTGCGTAGGATGCATGCAAGATTTTTACTGGTTTCGGGGAAGTCTTTTCAAGAATCACCCAAGAGACAATAGACAGCTCTACACACGTAGGTGGTGGTGCCTGGTTGAACTAAGTAAGATTCCAGTCTTGGTATAGACCAATACTATGGAGAGAGAGAGAGAGAGAGAGAGAGAGCGAGACAGACAGAAAGAGTGAGTACTCTGGAGCTACAGTGTAACAAGGAATATATACGTATATATATATATATGTATATTATCCCTGTTTACTAAACTTTGCTATGCGCGGCAGAAGCTACCATGAGCCAGAGATGGTCCTCATGTGCAGTGAACGGATTGCTGAGGCCTAGTATTGCTTCATTCTTGTTTGAATTATTGTCGTCTCCCTATTGAAATAATTAGCCGAGGTAGCTGTAATTAGTACACGTCCAGTATGAACAAGACAATAATTACCTATCTCATTCTTCAGCCTTTCTTAAGGCGGGTTTCTGCTTTCAGCATTTGGAGGCCAGAGGCGACTTTTGAAATCCCAGAAGCTATCTATGAAATTCCAGAAACGAATCATGAAAATCCGGAAGCTATTTATAAAAGCTATTTGTGACACCCAGAAGCTATGTTATAAATTGTCCGGAACCGCTTCAAGCCACTTCCAGCTATATATAACTTGAAAACACAACTAGCTTCAAACAGTTTCGAACAGCTTCATATAGCAGCTGGCCCAGGTGGCGCCCAGGTGGCGGTTATAAATAGTCCGGAACTGCTTCAAGCCGCTTCCTGCCACATGATAATAAGTACCTTCCAAGGTCTTGTAGACAGCTTGTACATAGCTTCCAAGATTCATATATAGCTTCGATTTTAAAAAAGGCTTCTTCCCCTCAGACCCTTCAAGAAATCAAAGAGGCTGAAGAACTCAAGAAACCATGTATAAGAACCTAATGAAGTCTTGCACCACCGTGTATGCCTGCTTTACCCCAGGAAGTCCAAGAATATCGGGTCCTGGCTGTTGCTCACTGTTCTTACCCACGGTAGTGCAACTGTTGGTGCAATTGTTGCTATTCATGGTCAAACCCATCTGTCCGGAGCGGCTGGCGGCATCAGCCCTGTAAGAACAGGGGCCGACTCAGTCCATGGCGTGTAGTACACCTCATATCAAATGAATGGTTCAAGGTTCATGGCTTGGAGTTGATGTTTTGGAGTCTAGCTTTCAGAGTGCTCTTTTGGGAGCTGAGATAGGCTATGAGTTCCTGACATTCCTTTCATTCCCGGGATATATTGCAGCTGAACTACAGCTGCTAGTCCTGCGGCGAGGACGATGACGACGAAGATGACTACGTATGACGAAACTGTGTAGAGTTTGAGGTCGTCATGGCGCATGGTATTAATCTTCATCTCAACCATTGAAGAAGCGACGCATAAGGATTAAGAGGGGTGATGTTAGGGGAATCTTGCTGCCTAAACTAATCATGATAAGCGCTGCAATTGAAATCCTAATTACTGCAATTGCGGATGGAGGAAATCTTGCACCGCCTTAAGTACCCAAACCAACACTCTGTAATTATAGCTGTGCAGGGATCCAAAGTGGTTCAGGGTGACATTCATCCGCCGTAGGTTATCCCATCTAACCCTGCTCACAAGAGCTTGGGAGATCGCACGCCCCATCTAGTTAAACATGTGCAGAGGGCTAACTGCAAGCCTTGACGCGCCATGTTCAGCTCCATCCCCAGATGTGCTTCATAAAGGCCATCCCCAGATGTGCTTCATAAAGGAAGGGCATGCCACTGCGCACCAGCTGTAGCATGTCGTTGGGCATGACTCAATGCTTTTTTTGGTTCCTTGCCCTTATGTGCTGATATGCTGAAATCAATCTCAAGCTTGGGAATTGCCACAAATGAGCTGGTATGCGGAGTGATCACAATGGCTCTGAAAAGACGACCCGCAAGTACTTGCCGTAGACCTGCAGCACCCCAAGTGGTTTACGCTACAACTTTTGTCAAACACCGCAACCACGGCCACAATCCCTTTGTCTAAGTTTAAGGACCCCCTGTCACCTCGAACCATCAAGGTGCCCCGGATATTGCCTAAGAATCTTGCATCAACCAATGCGAATCCTTAAGCCTAGAGTCTAAACCTCTACATCTCCACCCAGACCTCAAAAATCCCTGAACCCTAGCCGGTAAACCCCCCAACAGTGCGCCTGGCTATCGGCTCCCGCGCCCAACAACAAGCCTCAGACGACACATGGCGCTTGTCGAAGTGGGGGACCCTCGGGCTCCCCTCAGGAAGTACTAGGCTTGCAGGGGTCCTTCTATGGACGATGTCATACAAGGATTTTGCGCAGGAACTCTAACTCTGACATACGAAAGAAACGGCCCAAACAGCCCTGACATCTATTTGTTGCGCAAGGCCTTCACAGAGCAGGGCTCTGAGCAAGATACATGCAAGGCATTGAACACAAGGAGTCTGCTAGGCCGCTGGGCGACAAAGAAAGTAATTGCCCACCTTGAAGTGACATTGCGATTCTGTCTCACCACTGGAAGCAGGCGCCCATCACCAGAAACACAACGACACTAATGGGTACCATGACTTCTGAAGGCAGCTGACGACCACAGCCATTGCGGTGTAGTTCTACTGCGAGCAGCGGCAGTGGTCGGCTTACATCATGTCAGTGCCGCTGCAGGGTGCACTGGGCCCTGGACTGTCCTACGACAAACCGCAGAGACTCTAGATAATTGCTGAACGAACGTGGCAACCTCCCTGGCTCAGCGCCCAGTATTCTCTTAACATTACAGCCTGAACCCTCGTCTTCATCGGTCTGTGTCTTGCCTACATAGCACCCTATGGCCTCCATCTGCAGAGCTGCCAGTATTCCCCTGATAACAGAAACCCTAGCCCCGTACATCCTGACTTTCTAGCACCGGACTACAACCCTGAACCTCGAAACC